GTGCGTTCACTAGTTAATCTAATTAGTCGGCAGTCACCCGGGTGAAGGAAGGAAGTAGACACCATTAGTTGCCAGGGCGTCAAATGCTTTGCAGACAACAGGCGACAGGCGATCGTTCGTTTTCTGTTGACCGTCTCGATGTGGCTGGTCACACAGACAACATGAGAGAGAAAGCCCGGAGTCCTTCTCTCAAGAGGGTACATGCAGATGGATTGTGTGTGTGTGTGTGTGTGTGTGTGTAGACTGTGTCCATAATTGTGCAAAACAGACTGTTTGTAATGACAGGATCTCGCTGCCGTGGCTCCGTCCTCTGACCGCTATTGCACATTCTCTGGCTCCAAATGTGCAAGATGGCAACGTCTGTATCGAGGATATCTTGGCTTCAGTTCTGGAATGTGGGAGGAAGTGGAAATACGCCATCCATCTTTATAAACTTTATTCATTTCACTGCAAGAAATGATACACAGTAAAATATCGCAAACGCCACCTGAGGATTCTTTCAAGATGCCACATCGGACTATATATCTATCGTCTAGAGATTTTCCAAGTTATCGTTTATGGGATATAGCTGTTTTTGTGTGTCCTTCCATGTGTTATTTAACGAGGTGTAACATGTTTGCTGTTTCCGCAGGCGCTGCTGCGACAGAAGGAGCTGGAGAAAAGTGTCCAGTGGGCTCAGGAGAATGACAAGACCCTCAGGCAGCTTCAGGAGTCGCTTGCTAACACAGACCGCCACCTCAGCTCGTACCTGACTGACCACATTGACGCCCAGCAGATCCCACAGGAGGCTCAGGTAGCCTTAGAGTGCACCTCAAAAGAATCAGAACCCTGATAATTATTTTCTGTCTTGTTTATCAGTTTACGAAGCCCTGCCATGCTCCCAGCAGGAATGTGTGCACACACAAACATACTGTACACTGCCACTGTCTGTTATCTTATCCTCTGTAATCTACTTCATCTACTTCTACAATTATTCTTGTTTCTTTTCTTTTTCTCACTGACACACTTTCCACTTAATCAGATAATGGATCATTAGATAGTGGTGTGTGTGTCTGTATGTACAGAGCTGATGGAGAGACAGATTATGTCCATGTGCACTGTGGACCACCGGTGCAGAGGGACGTCTCTCGCTCTCTCTCTCTCCCTCCCTTACACACACAGGCTGAGCGAATGATTGGATTAGAGAGGTGTGTGTGTGTGTGTGTGTGTGTGTGTGTGTGTGTGTGTGTGTGTGTGTGTGTGTGTGTGTGTGTGTGTAGTG